TTTTATATAAACATAACATATTTTTCTTAAATATATATGTATGCATGTGTTTGTATTTAATATTTATATACATTTACATTTAGTCATTTATCAGATGCTTTTATCCAAAGCGACTTACAAATGAGGACAATGGAAGCAATCAAAACCAACAAAAGAGCAATGATACGCAAGTGCAATGACAAGTCTCAGTTAGCTTAACATAGTACAAGTAGCAAGGTTTTTTTATTAATTATATAATAAAAAGAAAATAGATAGAATAGAAAAAGAACAGAGCACGCTAGTGTTAGAGGCCTTTTTTGCTTTTGTTAATTGTATAATAAATAAAAAGACAATAGATAGAATACAAAAGGAGTAGAGAAGTTAGTGTTAATTTTTTTTTTTTTAAAGAAAACAAGCATTTAGTAAATGAATAGAGTGCAAGTCTAAAAGGGGCAAGTTTTTTAAAGAATAGAGTTAGAATAGGGAGTGCTAGAGTTAGAGGGTCAAATAAAGATGGAAGAGATGTGTTTTTAGTCGATTCTTGAAGATGGCTAAGGACTCAGCTGCTCTGATTAAGTTGGGCAGGTCATTCCACCAGGAGGGAACATTTAATTTAAAAGTCTGTGAAAGTGATTTTGTGCGTCTTTGGGATAACACAATAAAGCGATGTTCACTTGCAGAACGCAAGCTTCTAGAGGGCACATAAGTCTTAAGTAATGAATTTAGGTAAAGGGGTGCAGAGCCAGTGGTGGTTTTGTAGGCAAAAATCAATGCCTTGAATTTGAAGCAGCCAGTGCAAATTGATAAACATATATACATAATAAATATACACAGTGCACACACATATATTATGTAAACAAAAACTTTTATTTTGGATGCGATTAATCGTGATTAATCATTTGACAACAGGAATTTAGGCCTATACATACATACTGTACATACATACATATATACATGTGTATATATATATATATATATATGTATATATTTATTTATTTATTTAGTCATTTCAAAACGCAAGTATTTTTCTGATTTTATTACATTTAGAGTAAGTGGCGAATAGTGGATATAGCTACTGAATAGAATGCATCTATTTACACTATAAAGTTGCGTTGCTGAGGCGAGGCTCCCGCAGCCTCTCCAGTTGAAATCAAAACGTGCAACACTAAGAAACTCAGCATCCTGAGGTAAAAATTCAAAATGAAAA